CTGATAACACAGTGCTAATTTACCACCATTTTCCCTTCATGCATTTTGCCCCCACAACTGTCTAGGCTGCTAAAGATACGCTTCACGGCACGAAGGCCACTTGAAGTCCATGGAAATGCTGAAATATATTATCAGTATGCATGGTGCATGGTAAATATATAAAAAAAAATGTTAGAACTGTAAATTTACAGTCATATTTATATCACTGTTTTCATATATTAATTAATTGTTTTACTATTTTTCAAGGCTGCAGAAAGCTGTTCCAAACTAAATGTATTTTTGTTTTACACTTGTGTAAACAAAATGACAAATAAAATCTAAGTCATATAACATCCGACCAAATATTGCACATAAGCACTCCATTGCACTTTATTGTCGTAGTTGCAAAGGACTGCAATGAAAATATTAAAGACAGAAAAGTGTAGTGATCATCATTCAGTCAGCTGATCCACGAAAGAGAAACAGATTAGTATTTATTGATCAACCTCGATCCCAGTAACAGCTCCTGAAATGAGTTAGAACTCCCAGCAATGAAAATGGTGTCAAAGGATGATTGTGTGCCTCAGAAATGAATATAAATATATACTATAAGTATGTTGTCTTGACTTGAAAGCAAATAAGGTAGCAGTGAGATAAAAAAATAAAAAAACATTTGAGATGTTGCTTAAATGTTTCTTTCTGCTACATCCTAAAAGTTTCTTAGGTTCAGTTTCTGACCATTTTCCAACTTTGCATGTATTCTGTTCCTTTTTTGTTTCTTATTTTGTTCAAATTCACACAAGGGTGTGTTTGCACTTGTGTGCTTGTTTAATTTCAGCTGACATCTGCACCGTAATCTGCGACAAAGTGGAAAAAGCTCAGGTTCTTTTGGAAAATGTGGAGCGGAAGGAGACACCAAAGCTGCAGAGAATCATTCTGATGGATGCCTTTGGCTCGGAGCTCGAGGAACGTGGCAAGGGTTGTGGTGTCCATGTGCAGGCACTTCTGGAAGTTGAGGTATGACATGCAGGAAGTGTTTCAGTTATACCCCACTGGGAGGAGGCCCAGGGGGCATTTAGTCCTAAATGAAATTATCTTATAGTATCTGGACTTCAAAACCCTTAAATATCCTCAGATAATCTAGATATGTTCTTAAAACGGATTTAGCTTTTATTTAGATTAGTGTCTTCATTTATTCAGGGTTCTGGAGTGAACCTTTTTAATTGTGCTTGTAGCATTACTTTGTTCTTTCTTTTATAATTTCTGGCTGAGATATTTGCATGTTGAAAACCTCCTGGTTATGTCATCCACCACCATAAATTTTAGCATACAACATGATCTAATGCACATGAGAAGAGGTTAGATTTGGAAACATGGTTTTTAAGGAGCTAAAACACATGGCTAAAAAGCCTAACCTATAATGAAAATTGCAATTTACTATAGGAGGGCATTTATCCTGCATGATGACAGGCAATATATATATACATATATATATGTCTCAGTTCGGTTTGCGTGTGTTGCGTTCGGTTCATGCGCAGCTCCTTTTTCTCATAGGCGAAGCGTGTACACTCCAGAGCAGAAGGTGGCAGTACTGCCCAACCACCAGTAATAAACAAGAAGAAGAAGAAGCGAAGCAGCGTAGCCGGGTGTAGCAGAAAAAAATCAGTTGTTGTGGAGAATTGTGTGGGTATGGTGAGTGGAAAAGAACGGGAGTTGGAAGATGCGCCAGCAGCACTTTATAGGTCTGCTGTATGGGACCGCTTTGCATTTAGAGCGACCTACGATGACTGCGGAAAGAAAGTTGTGGATAAAAGTGCAACAGTGTGCAAGCATTGTGCAACACGTTTTGTTTATGCTAACAGCAACATGACCAACATGTCAGGCTAACCCTGAAATCCCACATACTCTGTCAGCGCTCCACTCCGCTGCGCTCCAGACCGCCTGCACAGAGCAAAGCCTACAGCCTCCACTGTGGCTCCCGTCCGCTCCCCTCTGAGTTCCTTGTAGATCGTAGAGGGCATGCGCGAGATTATTAAATTCAAAGCAGAAATGATCCAGGGTTTCCGCGGATCAATAAAAATAATTACAATTCATTAATTTTTATTTATTTTTTTTTCATTAATTTTTAGTGGATTTCGGTGTAACAATCAACATATACCGAACCGAACCGAACCGAAAACTGTGACCACGAAACCGTGAACCGAACCGAACCGTGGAT